TGTACATTTGTCTGTTGTGCAATTTTCTCCTTAACTTGTAAGATCGAAGACGATGGATCGATATCGATTTCAAATGGTTCGAGTTGTACACATACCTTACTGTGAACATGTGCAATCGTAATACGCATTTTATAAAAATCAAGTAGTCACTGGTATTTGCGATCTATTCACCAAAAGCACATGATGATTTCTACCATCGGTTTCATTATATAAATCGTGAAAGAACGAAAAAGTTTCTCATTATTGTGCAATAGAACACACACGAATGACTCATCGAACATTGGACGAAAATTATCTTGTTTTTCTTTTTAAATAGGACGCATACGACGAGATTCAAACTGAGGGAACTGTATAATAAATTCAATAATGATTAAAAATAAACGATTCTACGTTCATCCGAGTAGAGAAATTCATTCACCTAGATTTTTCTCTTGAAATGTCAACACATACGCAATAAGATTTGTCCTTGCTGCGACTGATCTCTTCAAAAGATAATACAACTGAAAAACAGGGACAAACGTTTCACTTTTACGCGACCGAAAAGAATATGTATGACATAGAAGGCAGTACAATTAGTAGAAAAATAGGTATAGTATTTATTTTTCGACCGAATTATTTTAAAGGTAAAAAAGAATTCGTCCTCGTTGTATATTTTATTTGTAATGCGTAATAATCTACGGAGAAGAGGATGATGGTAATGACGATGAAAATCTTCAACAGAGATTCGAACAGTTACATCTATGCAGCAAAATTTGCTCGCAAACTTTGATTTGATCATACCGCGACACGTTGTCCTATGTCAGCTCGAATATACTATGAAGTATACATCAACAATTCCTCGAAATCGCTCAAAAAACACTCATTCACATGGATGTGAAGGAAGTTCAACATGGAATTAACTTGCACCAATAAGAATCTGAAGACATATAGTCGCTCTTGAACAAAGGTAACAAATACAACTACAATTACGTTTCACCAAAATTAAATGCTGGTCTGAGCCGTCGTCGTAATTCGAAAAATGAATAGAATTTAACTTAATCTTTTATTCATATCGACTGAAATGTAGAGTTTATAAACATGTAGTTTACTCAACAGTCAAACTAAGTACCTGCATGCGCAGCAGCGAGAAAAATTTTTTTATCTTGCAGTAAAATGATAAGAACATCATCTAATCTCTCAAATACGCGAACAACCTTCTGCTGTTAGTTAAAATTAAGACTCGCGATGCAAAGAGAGTACATTGCTCTCCTCAGCTGTCTTCTCCCGCCATCGTGCTGTATTTGTCAACAAATACCGAACAATGAAATCGAAACTATTCGCAAACGTGCACTACAGCTGATGATTTGACCAGCACAGGAGAATCTATCTGTGCTTATAAAGAATACTATGTTCTTTTCTCAAACGGTGACTATGTCCTGCTATTGCACAGATATCGATTACTATGATCAACCTGTTCACTGAGCAGCAGCGGAACATATGAGTTCAAGATGGGTACGATTCTGGTTTGAATACTGAAGCATTGCGAATATTAGCGAACACCATGAGAACAGAGTATTCACAGATTTAGTTGAATAATCTGGCCGATCGTCTTCAAGGTCAATCGAACGCGAGTTTACTCATTGGCAATAAGCATTTTTATACAACAAATTATCAAGTCCATCGACGTGCTCATTGGACAAGTACGATTCGCATGATGCCTGTCGAATGTTTCAACGGACAAAATCTTAAAGATGAACATGGTGGTCAAGGTGTATTGAACTACTATACATCCAACACAAGTGATTATAGTTTCATATTTCCATTGTTGGATTGGCAAGCGATTAATGGTATCACTGTAGAACATAGAATTCCGCTCGAACGTTGCTCAAATGAACCATCGAGTTTGATCAGATTATCATTTGTCGGTGGCGTTAGTGATGGAGAATATGAAATGACGATGATGGATACAGCGACACATAGTTTAACTACTCAGAGGTCTTGGCATTTTTATGATGATGCAATCATTGCACTAGCGACTAATTTAACAGTGAAAACAAGAAATTTTGCATGGACAACATTAACTAGTCGTCGTTTATCACACAGTCAAATCACAATCGGATTTTTTCATTCGACCATCATTACTCTTCCCAACGGATTTTATTCGCTTTCTTATAATTCAGAAAGTTCATTGAATACATGTTGGCCAAACAAATATTGACTATCTTCGTCAAATGCAAGGAATGTATTCGTCACTAGGCATCGATCTACGAAATAAAACAGACAATTACATTGATATTGGTACTTCAAATTATACGATTTCGGCACATACTTTAACAATATGGTTAGACCATAGATTATGACCTTATGCACTTGATTACAACTATCTCATTTTACCTAATACTTCTGTTCAATCGATACCAACGATTATCAAACAATACGAAGAGGACGTATTCTTCAGTGTATCAGCGAATGGAAATTTTCATGAAATTATGTGACCAAGTTTAAAACGAGCATCGTTTGTTTTATGGGAGAATGTGACGGCGATATATGCGTGCAAGAGTGGAACATTCGGATTCAATATCGAACTGAATGATGCAGGTGCTCATCTTTTTAGTGAAACTGAAACAGATTTTACTCTTACTGTTTCCCATCCAACTCGAATCAAAAGTTACATAAAAGTATCGGTTGCTTGAAGCGAATATGGTCAAGGATGCACTACATCGTTCGGTTTGTTTAAATCCGGTGAGAACGAATGTTACGCTCGTATTGCCACGGTCATCGATGTTCTTGAGTGTATCAGTGAATGTTATTTAGAAAAAATAATTTCGAGAATAACTTTTTATTTGTAAAAAAGAATCAAAAACAATACAAAATTGGGGCTTCAATTTTAATATGAAACCGAAGAGTTGCAGTGTTGTAGATTCGTTTTTGCTTGAAAATTATTTTGTTTGCATCTTTAGTTTATTCTCTTCTTGCTTTCGTTCCTCCTGTCTTCTTTTTTTAGCTTTTTTCTTTTGCCATCTGGATAGTTTCGGTGGTATTGTCGTATTCGTAGTATCAAGCAATATCTGTGCAGCTGAAGTATCATCAAGCCTATCTTCTACTGCGGGTTCAGATTGTTCTTCATTCGTTGTATCGGGTATAGGAACTGATGATCGTTGGACATTTTCAAGAAGTAGATGGATTTCCTCGAACAATTCCTTTTTGAATTCTGCTAGCATATCCTTCGTTACCATATTTTCTTCGATACTTTTGAAACGAGCTTCAGTTTGTTCGATATGGTAGAATAATATACGACTATGCTGTAAAGCAATTGCATCATTGTACTCGTGATCAACGGGATCTCGATAGCAACCAGTCAAATTCAGTATGTATAAGTTTTCTTCCGGTGAAAAATCACGAGGATTAATATTTGTGTCGAATGCTGAAATTGCTTCAGGTGTCAAAGCTAAATGGGCATGAGCGTGAGCGATTGTAGCATATTTGTTCTTGCCAATTTCACTTGTCCAACTACCAACGTTAAATTCAACAGACTCAATTGGACTATCGATTCTTTGATCACGACGAATACGTGAGATAATGTCACATAGTTTCCACCTAACCTCAGCAATAGCTTGCCATGCTTTAGGCGATCTAGCAAAGTATTCATTTGTACTATGGGAAACAGGAAATAAAAGAATATCACGAGCTGATTCCAAGCGAGAGTAAAGTACAAATTGTTCATCTCTGATAGTGAACGAAGTAATAAATGTTGAAGTTGCAAAATGTTGACTACATTCTCCCATATCTCCGTGAATCAATCTCACTTTTTCCCTACACTTCTGTGGCACATGACGTCTACAGGAATTGGATCTGCAGTTCATATCCATGCAAATATACGCTATTTTGCTTTTACTACACACTCGATTTGTAGGATCAACAATTCGTCGACTAGTGATGCTCTTATGCTTTCGTTCTAAACATTCTCTTACGTATTCCCTAGCAATTCTTGCGCGATGAACAGGATCACTGTGATGAATAGGTAAAATATAATCAAACCATGCAAATGCATCGAGACGTAGGCGCATAATACCAGTTTCGAAGAAAAACTTGATCTGATAAGGTTCGCGTTCGATCGGACGACGGGCGCTTTCAAGTGTGTGTTTACATCGATCGAGTAAGTTTTCCGCTATTGTTGCTGCTTGATCAGGAAATGCAACATCCTCTAGCAAAGGTTTGACCTTTTTATCGATATACGGCTTGTTTGAAAAGTTAGTGGACATTGTCATAAATTCTTTCCAAGCAATATTGTGAATGTTTTATTGATGAACCGTCGTTCTATACGAAAAAAGTTAAGAGAAAATAGTGAGTTGGGGTCATGGAGTGGCAAATATCAAATGCAAACAAATTTTGAAAATGCTATGTCAAAATTTTCATCGATTATTCAATGACTTCAGTGCATAGGAGAAAGTAAAAGTCGTGAATAAACAGAACTGACGTATAAATCGAACGATGCTATAGCTTCCAAATGATCGAATAATTTGCTATCAACTAGTATCATTTCGTTCATAAACGAAATCCTTTCCTTTCTGCCTTATATGCTCTGTCTGTCGTTCGTTATAACCATTGCATAAATGAAAAAATCTTTCGAAACCACAGATGAATTCAATGTTTTCAGCATGGAAAGTAAATCTCTGATTTCTACTTCTCTTCTAAACTATAAGGTTTCAGCATATTTGTAGAAGACTCTCTTATTGTAACAGAAGAAATTCAAAATTTTCGATATTAAAAGTAGACTGCTGATTTTCTTCTTTCTTTTTAGTGTGTTTAGGTAAATCTCTGACTACAAAGGAGAAATTTTATCAGAAAATTTTTCAAAACTGGTTACAGTTTGAGATTCGCCATGTCCTCGTTGCAATTGTTGAAAAAACATAATTCGTTCATAAATCGTATGAGAATTTTCACTGATACCTACTCACTCTTCGTGTTTTCAAGAAAAATATTGACTTTTATGATAAGTAACCGTACGGCATTTTCACATTCTTATCTAACCAGTGCAAACAAAAAGAGAAAAATGCGAGAAGTTGTTTTATTTTCTCTTTCTTTTGTGAGTATTTTTTGTGTAGACAACTCGATTTCACTTTGTTTTACAGCGGTTTCGTTTTAAAATTGGCAATTTTTGTTGCGTGGTAATGATATTTTCATGCGAAATAAATCATTTTCTCTATCATAGCTCGAATCAAAAGTCAACACAGTCAACCATTACGCTAAAATAATCAAAATCTTCTATAATTCTACATATTCATAACAGAGAACTAGAATAACTGAAATGTTCATGTTTATCTCATAGTGTTAAAACACATGTTATTACAACGAAAGTAGATTCGTCCTTTTCATCGATACGTCTGACTGTATTTCAAACGAGTTCGATCATTGTAAAGTTCAACAGGTATAAAATAGAATCTAGTTGAGGTTGCTGAGCAACATTTAATACTTTCGTTGAATTGTCTTCATAATGTGAATGTAAAATGTCTAAAACGGAAATTTTGCCATCTTTGCAATCTAATAGAATAAGGTTCGGTCTGTTCATTTAAATGCATGTGATCAATGTTCCAAGTTCGAGGTATTGTTTCGGGTGTTAGTTACACACTGAAAGTGGAAATTGGATTATATTCACGTGCGTAACATTGTATAGCAGATTTCATTTCTCCGGCAAATATATTGTGAGTTTTCGATTGATTTCGTTTCTGACCAGCGTATTTCCTGTCATCATCTTCTCTATACTAAAGATGCTTTTCGTTTGTCCAAATAATTCAAAATTCATGGATCAAAATACCATATCTATCAGCAAGATGATCTTTTATATCTGGTTTATAGACGTTTTCCAGAAAAGGTTTTGCTAATAGTAGAACAGTTGATCAACATTGTCAAGCAGAATCCGCGTGTAACCTGTGGAACCAAACTTGACGAAACCGCAAGGTCGTGATGTTATAGAAATTATTCGAAAGATTCCTTTAAACTTTCCAGTCTGACTTAACTTACTTTCAGATAATATTTTTTATCATTACTGTGAGTAAAATACGATATTTCGATTTGTTAAAAGAAATCAAACTTTGCAGAAATAAACTTCAACGTAAAATTTACTCGATCAGAGATAGATTTATTTGTTCGTAAAAGCTGACAAGTAATAGAAAAAAAACGAACAACAAGTTTCAATTAAGAATGGTTTGTAATGGATTATAGGAATCGAACTTCACTTTACCAATCTCAATCGATACAAGCACAACCGTCAAGTGGGCTAGTTGCACATTTGTGTTTCGGTGGTGCGTCAATGTTCATGTATGGTTTGAAAACATCCAAAGCGTTGTAAGGCTCGCATAAATAATACTCGGTGCATAACGATCGACATTGTCAATTTATGATCCTCAATATTAATGATGTTTCGTTATATACTTATAAAGTGAAAAAATAATGATTTTATTTCAATATGTAGAAAATAAACTTTTGTGAAAGATTTCTGTTAATATTATACAGTTTTGAAAGAGAAGTTTATGGATTTGTTAAACGACAAATATCAGCCGATGTTAATGCTTGACTAAAGACATAAAATTCATCAATAACACCGTTGAATTGTCCCGTCGAAATCGATCCTGACAAACACGAATTAGCATCCATTGGTGATGCTCCAAGAAACACAAACGATCCAAATGCTTGACGTGTTGATAATGTAGCATTAAACATAAGATTTCCATTAATGTACAAATAATTTCCATTCGATGGATCAAACACATGAACTATATGTGTCCATTGATTTATTTGAAATGAATTTGGAATTTTGATTGAAGTGATACTATTTGATGTACTAATGAAATTAACTGAGAATTCACCTGTTGAAGTAAATCCCCACAAAACAAAACAATTTCCTTCACCAGATGATTGTGTTGATGTATGAAGAACAGTTCCACCACCACTCACATTCAAAGGTTTGATCCACATTGAGATCGTAAATGGATTAGTTGAAGAATTTAAAACATTCACACCAGAAATATTAACATATGATAATGATGATGATGAAAATTGTATTCCTTCATTCATTCGACCAGTTGTTGATATTCCATTCGAATTGATTGCATTCAAATAATTTGGTCCTGAATCATTTAGAAGCGAAGGTAAATTAAATGAGAAATAACAGAAGAGTATGGCATTTAAATAAATTTCACATGGTGTTTTCACTCGATA